CAATATTTAGGGTATCTCCAACCCAGCGCTTGGTTGGATGATTTGAACCGACGCCAAATCCAGCGCAGTGCAACGCCAAATCCGTCCTTATTATTTTTTTTATTTTTAAAAAGATTATAAAAATAAAAAATTGTTTAAAATAATAGAAAAAATTGAATATTTGAATAATAATAGTGAAAAATAGAATTATGTTTGACATAAAATTATGTAGCAACTGCATATTTAGAGTTAAAACTCTATAAATAAAGTTGATGAGTTGGAAATAGCTTTAACCCATTTGGACTTGACACAAAGATTAAAAAAAATAAGTATTTTATTAAAAATATAAAAAAAAAAAAAAAATAGTTGAAAGTACTTTAAAATTTTAGTGAGTAAATAAAGAGAATGAAAAGATATAATGTAACAAAATTAATGATATTTGTTGTAAAAAAGTATAATAATTAAATATTGATAATTTAAAATTTCAAATATAATAATGAGATAAATTTAACAGAAAAATTAACAAAATTAAAATAAATTTGAAGGGCATAGAAAATATATATTTTTACTAAAAAAGCATTGAGTGTTACATAATTTTTATTATTAATTTTTTTTTTTTTTTTATATAGTAAACCTCAAATCAAACATTAATTAAATATAAAACTTAAATAAAATATTTTCTTTAGATATCACTTTATATAGGGAAACTATTAATTAATTTATTATTAATTTGTGATACAAAGTGCACGTGTAAGTATTGTTGCAAGCACACTTGAATAGTCAGTCAGGCCCATTTATTTAAATCATTATCATCGTACAGGACATTAATTTAATTGCGAATTACTAGTGAAGGAAAATTTAATGTTGATAAAGATAGGGATAGATGTATTATTACTGTGGCTGTAAATAAATAAATAAAAAAAATAAAAAAATAAAAGAAGAAGAAGATATACGTAGAATTTAATTTAATTTATTTTTAATTTTTTTATTTTTTATTGTAAGGTTTGTTATTGTTAGTGACATCTGCCTAACGCTTATTTTTGTCCAAACCTAACTAATAGCGTTGTTGTCAAATAATTATTACGAATTTGTTATATTATTATTATTACTATTATTTGGTCACGTGGAATAGACGTGGCTTCATTTAATATTTTCTCACAACACTTATTTTTTTAATTACAATTCTAAAAATAATACTCCTTCCGTCGCTCAACAAAGACGGCGTTTGTTTTTTGCACGTAAATTTTTTAATATTAGTATTATATTATATTGTAGTAAAAAAGATAAAAATACTCCTGTTAGTACGATGTAATATAAAAATAATGATATTTGTGTAATATATTGTAAGTTGAAAGTAGGGATAGCAATGGGTCGGGTCCAGCCGGACCCGAGACCCGACCCGAATACACATGGTTGGACCCGAGAACCGAACTGGACCCGATTATACCCAGGCCCGACCATATCCGGACCCGACCCGAATAATACCCGACAAGATCCGATGGACCCGACATACCCGAAATTAATTATTTAACTTTTAAAATTTAACTTAAAATTAGACCCGAACCCGGATCCAGACCTGTTGAAATTTATATATTTTATTCAAACATTTTATAATAAAATAATAAAAAATAAATAAATAAAATTAAAAAACATATTTTTAATATAATTTATATTATTAAAAATTAATTTTTTCATATATATAATTAATATATTAGTAATATATTAGTCGGGTCCGAGTCGGGTCCGGGTATGGTCCACCATTGGACCTGAGACCCAACCTGGACCCGATAAGGGTACACAATACCCGACTCGGACCCGGATCCGATGTCATCCATAGTTGAAAGGATATTTATTATGTGAAGTAGGTAGTAGAATTACTAAATTCGCAAAATAATAACCTTATTTTGGGATGGACAAAAATGGAAAATGGTAACCTTTCAATTGGACGGAGGGAGTAATAAAAAACACAAAATATTTTATATATATAAAAAAAAAACAAAATTAAATATTCAATACAAAAAAAAAAATCAAAAATCAATTTAAAATAGTACTCCCTCCGTCCCAAACACCCTGCAACATTTTCTTTTTTTTTTGTTTGTCTCAAACTCACTGTAATATTTTCAAATTTAGAAATAATTAATAATATTTTTATACATATATTAATATACATTTCACATTATCCCATCACATCACTCAAATAAAAAAATAATCATTTCTCAATCACATCACTTAATATCCAAATTATCTTAAATTATCATACTTAATACTTTCCACCTAAATCTCGTGCCAAACACAAATGTTGTACAGTATTTGAAACGGAATGAGTAATATTTTATATTTTTATACAATTTCTCATATTACATGCTAAAATGATTTTATCTAATAACGTGTGAAACAGAACCATTGAATGCACACTTGATTATTGGATTTTTTTTTTCCACATATGTTACCATTATATGATCAATTTTATTTAAAATGTAATCCGCGGGTACCGAGAGAGTTCCTGTGAAATTTTAAAACCTTTTTTATTCTAAGGGTGTGTTTGTTCGGGGGATTGAATTAGATTTTTACTATTTTTTTTATTTTTTTTCTTCAAAAATATCAAATCAAACATCTATTTTTCATTTTTATATTATATTAAAAATTAATTTTATATACAAAATATCACATCAACACCTATTTATATCACATCATACAACTATTCAAATTCAAAATTTTTACTATTCATATCCCAAGAATTTAGATGAAAAATAAATTAATTTAGTTTAGGGTGTGTTTGTTTGAATGATTGGATTTTGAGTTGAGATTTGAATAGTAAAAATTTTGAATTGGAATAGTTGTATGATGAGATATAAATAAATATTGATGTAATATTTTGAATGTAAAATTAATTTTTAGAATAATATAAAAAATAAAAATTATGTGTTTTTTTGATTTGATATTTTTTGTAGAAAATTTTTGGATAAACAGTAATTTTTTTGCAAAATCCTTCAAACAAAACCCACCCTTAATTTCATTTCATTTAGGTATTAATATAAATTTAGATTTATTCGAATTATGCTTCCGCTAATTCAGTTCATATATTTTTGTTACGAGGTATTGTTCAATAATCTTATAGATATGAGAATAAATTCACAATATATTATAATAAAAATATAATTATATATAAAAATATTTTTAATGTTAAATATAATAATGCAAAATGATAAATGTAAAATCTAGAACTAGACGAAGTAAGTATGATTTTACGCAATATTCAATTTAAAACATGAAGTAGATATTAGCAAAACCCGTAAATAAGAGTGATAAACGTATTTGTCTAGTGTTTTAGCTTGAAATATAGACTTATAATTTAATAAATGCATATGTTACAATTATCCGTCTATATTACCTTTTTCAATTTTTATTTTAACCAAATTTATTACTCAATTCGTCAATAACAAAGTATCAATTTTTTCATTTTAATCTCTCCCATAATAAAATATTCATATTTTTTAGTAAATGTACTATCTACCTAACATTAGAAATACCCTTACAACTTACAATATATTACACAAATGACATTATATTTATATCACATACTAATAAGATTATTTTAGTTATTTCTATTTTATTTTTACTACATTCAAATATAATACTAATATTTCTAAAACTACGTATAAAAAATAAATAGATATTTAATTATAGGACGGAGATAGTACATCTTTTAAGAAATAGAGTTGTCATTCATAAATTATATTGATGAACTCATTAATTCTAAAAAATAATAAATAAATAAATATCTAATTAATTACAATCTAAAATTTGAAATTTATCAATAATTTATCTATATAATATTAACATAATTTTCAACAATTTATTATTATATATCCAATTTTAATATTTTTTTTTTAAGAAAAATTATATTCAATATCTATTCAATTGGCTTTTTCACAAATGATCAAAAATAAAAAATTATTCGGGCAATGTTCAATTCAAATTTATTTCAATCAATTTAAACTTTCAAATATCACTAATTTATAAATTCAAATAATTTTAATATTATATAATATTTTTATAATTTATATAAATTAATATTAAAATATAATATTATATAATAAATATTATTTATATATTATTAGATAGTAAAATTATATAAAAATAAATTATTATTATGAATTTTATAAAATTGCAAATATAATATGGTATAACTGGTATTAAAAAATAAAAAAAAATTGAATTTGAAATAGATATGATGTAACGAAAGAGATAAAAAAAAGATAAAAAAGATGCGAATTCTCACTATAATCTAAATCTAGTTGATAATCATCAATTTGGTTGAGGGACGATCCTGGGATTTCTAGAATATTTCGGAATATTTCAGGAGATTCTGGAACATCTTGAAAGATTTCCACTAGTGTCTCTGTGTTGGCGCACCAACAACTCGACATCCTTCTGCATCTTCCTCGGCGTTGATCGGCCGCTGTCATAAAGACAAAAAAAAAAAAAAAGAAAAAAACAAAAAAATTCCGCATAATCCTGAAATAAATTATAATTATCCACCTCATTTACTATAATTATTTCATAACAAAATTTTCAGATATAGTTTTTCTATCTATTTTAAAATATTATATTTATTAACAGTTTGTTTTAATTTAAAATATTATATTAGAAAAAATATTAATTGAAGAGAAACAAAACCTTAGAAAAACCCTAGACGACATATTTATTATAAAAAATAATAAAAAAAGTAAATAAATACAAAACAAATTGTAATATCCATAGGTCCGGGATCTTACGAACAGTATTACGCGGGAGGATAAGCTCTATAAAATCAACGGTCAGATGCTGATAAGGTTCGGAGATCCCGGACCATGCAGATATCGCTATGTGAAAGGAGTCCAACCCTAAATTAGCTTTATTTATTGCTAATAAGCTCACAGTCAATGATATTATAATAAACACTTGGCCTCAAATTACAGCAAAGGAGCTTCAACCTGAGGGTATTTTCGTCTTTTCGGACCTCGAATTGCCCTTTAAAAGCGCCTTTCCTCCACACGGCTTCTTCGTCCACCGCCCTACCGCCCTACCGCCGGAGAGTCGAAGAATTCCTTCGCCGGACGAAGTTTCTGCACTCTCCGATCTTCATTCGTCTCTTTTCTCTACTTCATATTCAGTTGTACGTTCGGGCGGCAGTTTTGTTTCCATAATCCGGATCTATTGGTATATGCAGATAGTTGTTTGATTTTTTTTTTTTTGAATTTTTTTTGTTAGAATGGGTTCCGAGTTGATTTTCCGAGGCCACGAGTCGCATCCAGTCGGCGATTCCTATTCGCCGAAGCCGACAAAGCCGTGGTTCTATGTTTCACGGTCGATTCGGTACATGCTGCGCGAGCAGCGCCTCGTTTTTGTCTTAATAGGCATTGCTATCGCAACTCTGTTCTTCACTATCGCGCCTTCCTCCAAACCGCCGGCGGCGATTCGAGACGCGTATGTTTCATCGCAGTTGAGTAATTTCGAGCCGCACCGATCCGTGTACCATAACGGCCACTTGACCACTGGATTTGCAATAAACTCGGGTGGAAAAATTCCGTTGGGGTTGAAGCGGAAGGGTCTGCGGATTGTCGTTACAGGCGGCGCGGGATTCGTTGGCAGTCATTTAGTGGATCGTTTGATTAGTAGAGGCGATAGTGTGATCGTAGTCGATAATTTCTTCACAGGGAGAAAGGAGAACGTTATACACCACTTTGGTAATCCGAGATTTGAATTGATTCGACACGACGTCGTTGAGCCGCTCCTTTTGGAAGTTGACCAGATCTATCATCTTGCTTGCCCTGCTTCGCCGGTGCATTACAAGCACAATCCTGTCAAAACGATCATATCCTTTTTATTGATTTATTTTCAAATTCGGTAATGTTTATCCTGTTTCGTTTCGCCATTTTGTTATTCTGTATCTTAGATCTCATTAGACTCATGATTTTCGGCAAAATTTTCGTGAAATTTGTTGCGAATCCTTAATTTTGAATTCCTACAAGACGAATGTGGTAGGGACACTGAACATGCTTGGTTTGGCCAAGAGAGTCGGTGCTCGGTTTCTGCTTACAAGCACCAGTGAGGTGTACGGCGATCCTCTACAACACCCGCAGGTTGAAACCTACTGGGGCAACGTCAATCCAATTGGTAGGTTCAATCTTCCTCGTTATTTACGTGAATCAAACGGAAGCAATTTTCTACTACTGTTTTAGAGCATTAGTATAGCTCCGTCAGTACAGCCGCGTACATGGTGGTTGGTGCTAACATGAGCCTATACAAGGCTAATTGTAGATGTTCTGGAATAGAAGACCCTCTCACATTGCTTTTGTAGTGCCCGAATAAATCTACATCTGCATCTAGCTTGCCACGTGCGCTTTCGTTATTGGATTATCATTTGCCTTCTTTGCTGTTGAACTGGGATTTTATTTTCAATTCATTGGTTACAGTTTTCCTTTTTCCATTCTTGAAAATTCTGCATTCTTGGCTTGCCACATGTATTTTCCGCGTACGAGTACGACCATTCTTGGGGTTTGGTGGCGGTGGGTGGTGATTTATTTGTCTGTTGTGCCTGATCAATGTTTACCCTAATTCAAAACTGAGTGTGGTGTTGGATTCAAGGAATTGTGAGTTTTTGCCGTCTGGAAGGGTGAATCTGAACAGTAACTTATCTGATATCCCCAATTTGATTTTCTCGTTGGAAATGGGACAGGTGTTCGAAGCTGCTACGATGAGGGAAAGAGGACAGCTGAAACCTTGACCATGGATTATCACAGAGGGGCTGGCGTTGAGGTAATTTCTTTTTTTGCCTCTTTTTTTCTTGATTTTCCGTTGAGAACTAAACTGATCCATTGTTCAATTTCCAAAATTTCACTATGAAAAAGTGCGACTTTATGGCCACGTGGTGTTGTGTAGCAGTGACCACTTTCTCCGCATTTAATTGATTTGGAAGAGAATTTAAGGCTGCTTTTTGATAGACCTTGAATGAACGTGAATTCCACTTACCTGGTTTAAGTTTCCATGTGATTTCTGCTGGGAGGGGGGCTGATTGTTTGACAGCTCATGAATTTATTTATTTATATATATATAGGTGTTGAAAAGAGATGAATTGTCAAGTGACTGACGTGTTGGCTGAATAAAAAATGTGACAGGTTAGAATTGCTAGGATCTTCAACACATATGGCCCTCGTATGTGCATTGATGATGGCCGTGTTGTCAGCAACTTTGTCGCTCAGGTAATAAACTGCCCCAAAAATAAAAATCTCTCTTTTTAACAGCAAAAGTAAAAGGTGATTTCTATTTTCTTACTGCGGTGAATCTGATTCTTTATTTGTAGGCATTGAGGAAGGAACCATTGACTGTTTATGGTGATGGGAAGCAGACAAGGAGTTTCCAATTCGTCTCTGATCTGGTAAAATTTCTGTGCTTCCTTTTCTTATTATTATTATTATTATTATTGTAGGTGTGTTCTTATATTAAAAATCGACTATAACATGTGTTGTCAATTGCATTATCTCTCGGGATATTATTATATTATGTGTTATCGGTTATTATATATTGTCAATACGGGTTGATATTTTGATTGCTTTTGTTGTCGTTATACTATGAATGTTATATTCCTTTTTGCCGCTCATTGCTGTATATATACTCTAATCCTTTGACTTTTTTTTTTTTTTTTTTTCCGAAATAAATAATCACAATACAACCTAGTCTACATCTGAGTAGTAGTGGCATGGCTGTTAGGACTGGGGGAGGCTTGTCTTAATTCTTAATTAATCTAAATTCATTCTTAATTCTTGTTGGGGCCAAGTCCAACTGACAGTGCATCTTATAGGTTATAGGTTAGATTATATTAGATTATCGACGATGATGGTCGTGGTCCTTATTGAGATATTTTAGAATTTCAGTTTTAGATAAGAGTGTGTTTGTATGGAAGTTTGAATTTTAAGTTGGGATTTTAATAGTAAAAATTTTGAATTTAAATAGTTATATGATGTGATATAAATAAATGTTGATGTGATGTTTTGAATGATTTTTAGTATAATATAAAAAATGAAAATAGGCGTTTGATTTGATATTTTTGGAGGGAAAAATTGGATGAATAGTGTAAATCCAATCAAATCCCCAAACAAACACACCCTTAGTAAATTTATATTTAGATTTAATTTTATCCATAGATTTGAATCTTGTATTCCCGCTCTTTATTTTGATGATCAATAAGACAATTTTATTATTTTTCTCCAAAATTTCTAACCGTCGTAATCAAACACTCTACAATTATTTACTGCAACATAATTTTACTCGAAGGTCGAGGGACTGATGAGGTTAATGGAAGGAGAGCATGTCGGGCCTTTCAATCTTGGCAACCCTGGCGAATTCACTATGCTCGAACTTGCCAAGGTACGTAAAATATCAGATAAAAGTCGTAACTAATTCTTACTATTTACTTGTTCAATGAATTTTCATTAGAAATAATGCACATAATTTGTGTGCAGGTGGTTCAAGAAACCATTGATTCGAATGCCAAGATCGAGTTCAAGCCGAACACGGAGGACGATCCTCACAAAAGGAAGCCGGACATCGCCAAGGCGAAGGAACTCCTCGGTTGGGAGCCAAAAATCCCACTCCATAAGGGTCTCCCAATGATGGTATCGGATTTCAGACAACGTATATTTGGTGACCACAAGGAAAACATCGACGCCTCATCCGCATAATCCACAGCTATAAATAGAAAAACAACTACGGTATTCATTCTTTAATTTTGTTGCTGAATCATAAGGGAATTACTATACTATACTATATTAGTAGAGTGAGTATAGGCAAGACATGAGACACACAGACGACCTTCATTGCTTGTTACATAGTTCCTAGAGGATGATATTATATGTTATCAACTATCAACATTTCTTTTTTTCTTTTTTTTTTTTTTTTATTTCTTTTGGGTAAATCTTGGTTGAACCCTAATGGCAACTATGAACATTTCTTCAATTTAGAAAGAGTAGATTCATATGTCTTTACTATGTGATGTGGTTTCGCTACACGCAAAATTTGCTTTTCATATATAAATAACATTAGTATTTCCCAACATACAATAGTTATATATATATGAACACCTGTTAATATACAAATTCGGGTCCATGAAAATCGGACGAACCCATGTGACCTGCTACTAAGTGAAATTTCAGCCTACCAACAACTGGATTTGAACTGTTATTTTATCCCAATAAGTAAAAAAATGGCGTAATCCAATCCTATTAATAAATTATAATCGAATTGTAGTGTTAGATTAAATCTATTTTACATATATAATAAATAAATATTGATAAATTATAATGGAATGAGCACAATCTAGGGTCTTGACATTTGAAGCAATTGCCAAAAATGCAGTTTTAAGAATCTAGGATTTAGCTAGGAATGAACACCACATAATAGTTCAATAAACTTTCAGATGAAAGAAAATAATAGAGATGACAGGGCAAAGCTGGGGGAAGAAGAGACTGTAGTGTGTTTATAGCTTATCTGTTAAGAGGCCTGAGGAGATTGCGATTGCCGATTGCCGAGTCTACCTGAAACAAATGAAGAAATTTACTACAAAAACTGCATCCTATGAATGGAGCCGAGGTATTATTACATTAACTGAAATCGCACAATATCCATACCTGTTACTTGGGGTTTCTCAGAACAATGATGACAGAATCCCCGCGGAGAAACATCTTGCTAATAAATCGATCTTTGTTGACCGGAAGAGCTTTCTTCTTTCCTTTACCAGTCTTGGGAACCTGCTCAAGAGTTGACATTAAAATTACGGGTGCGTTTGTTTGTGGGTTTGAATTTTTGAATCGTAAAAAGTTAAATTTTAATAGTTATTTGATGTGATATAAATAGATGTTAATGTAAAATAAATTTGTGATATAATAATATAAAAAAAAGAAAACTAATTATTTGATTTGATATTATTTAGGGAAAAAATAATGTTAATAGTAAAAATATATAGTAATAAACCACAAAATAACACAACCTACAGGATTTGTACATTAAGATATGTGTCTTAAGGACCTAATAAAAAAAAAGTGTTAGCCCCACCTCGGTCCACATCTCTCGAACATTCTCCAATACCATGTTGCAGTGGCGGTCGAAGGCCCTCACATGGCCCAAGAGCTTTTTGTTATTGCGGCAGTTGATGAGCACCTAGATGGTGATGGTAATGGCGTCGACAGCAGAAACATCAAGTTATGCAAAACTAAGGAACTTTAAAGATGATATACTACTAATAAACTGCAAAGTCGTATTAAAAGGAATATATATTATTACCTGTGTGTTGTTTTTAACACTCAACATTAAAATCGAAAGTGGGCCGGTGTTGAACTCTTCTTCCTCGTTCTTCTTCTGTTGAAAGATTGTTCCAGGTGAACCATAAGTGTTGCTTATTTGATTAAAGGTGCATTAAATTTGACGGGACAAAGAAAAAAGGGTTAATGCATCCAAATAGCAGGTGGAGAGGAAGTGTTGAAGGCAAAATTTTACTGTTTACATCAATACATTTTTTGGAGGAAAGCGGCCATAATTTTACATAATCACCAACGAAACTTGATAACCTCTTTTGTCCTAGCTTCCATCTAACATCCATACCCTCCATATTTCACAATGATTTCGTTTTCCACCAAAGGGAAGGAATAAAATATAGAAGAATAAAAGAAGTTTTATCCCTCTAATCAATATGGATTTCATCATAGGAATCTGGGTTCTTATACTTCATTTTTATTTCGAACCTGTAGATTTTAACCATTGAACTAAGGTTGAATTGCATTTCATAAGTGTAATTAGAATAAAGCAGCCATAATACAGTTACTATCTGTTCTTGACTCAAAGCACTTGCACTGTTTCAAGCAGTTGAGGCACAAGTACCAAAAGTGAACGCGCTAAGGTAGTACAATCAAAAGCTGTAAGATCGTATATATACTTAGCACAAACCCAGCGGAAGGGCAAAGCAACTAATTCATTTGATAAAATACATTCTTCCATAAACTAATATTCAAAGCTACGATACCAAATTGCCACAGTAAAGCCACAATGGGAGAAAAAAGCATAGAGAAACTGCATGAATAGGACTATAGGAGTAATAAGAACAAGAGATTAACATATCTTACAGGGGTATCCTCTTCCATTGCCCGACTGCATGTGAAAACAGCAAAAAAAAATGTCGTAGGTGATTTCAAGTTCCCACAAGAAAATTATTCCAAAGAAAAAAAAATAAAAAATCATATCTGAAATGTGTGACCAAACAATGAAAAGAGATCAAAGGGAACATAAACTATAGCAATATTTCACAGTTGTGAGGATTAAAATTATTGAAGTGCTAAAACAACAGGTGAATGAAAACGAAATCAATTCTAAGAACGTCCATTTCTTAAGCAAAAATCATGTATTCTTGAGTCAGTTTAAGTCCACTGAAATCAACAAGTTCCCTGCTAATTTTTTTTTTTTTTTGTTCACTGCTAATTAGATCTCACTGATAACTTTACCTATATAGAGGGTCTACTCTGCGAGATCAAAAATTCAAAATACTACAAAGCGTATCAGTAGGTCACCTCATAATCAACAATTAAAATGCCAACAGGACGATTTAGGATCTACTCTCCGAGAGCAAAAGAGCAAAATAATACAAAGCGTGACAGTAGCTCACCTCATGGCTCATACTCAACAATTAAAATGCCAACAGGACGATTTAGGGTCTACACTACGAGAACAAAAATTCGAAATAATACAGAGCGTAACAGTAGCTCACCTCATACTTGACAATTATGAACTCAATCGAAGTAAAATGCCAACAGAACGATTTAGGGTTTATACACCTGCAAAAAATAAAAAAATAAAAAATCATGCGTGCTCAATAGTTTGCCACAAATCGAAAAGGAAAAAACCATAGAAGCAACAACCTGTGCAGCATTAGGTTAATCGACAATGTGGAAACAAAAAATCGAGAGAAATGCAGAAAGTTTGTAACTCACCAGCCAGAGGCTTTTTCCAGCGAACCCTGAAACCCTCCCTCCGCTTTCAATTTTATTTAAAAATAAATAAATAGCGGTAAATTGAAAATAGGCACGTGCGAGACCTTTGCGTGTGCAATAGTGAATAATTTCGAATTTGTTGGAAAAAAAAATAAAAAAAATCAATTTTGGCAAATATAATTATTAATTTTGGTTTCAATATAATTAAATTTATCAATTTTTGTTTCAAGATAAAAAAAATTCATAAATTTAATCTCATTATAAAAAAAAATTGATCATTTTTATCATATTATAAATAATTTCAATCAATTTTCGTCTCGCCGTTAAAAAATTAACAGAAATTACTGAATTTATATGGACGAGTAGTTTCCACGTCAGCTCAACTCTGTTACGTCCATACAAGCAATTTTCGTTAGTTTTTTGAATGATGAGACCAAAATTAATTAAAATTATTTATAATATGATTAAAATTGATGAGGTTTTTTTTTTTTATATTATGACCAAAATTAATTTTGATCAATTTTTGTCCAATAATTTTTTCCTGACACTATTCCAATTTATATAATATACATATTTTATCATTTTACAAAAAAATCTAATATTTAATATCAAATATTATTTTATATTATGTACAAATTTCTTATAATTCATATAAAAAATATACTTCGAACCAAAACACTAACACAAACAAACCTTTTCCTTTGATGTTCTCAAACCGTATTTTTTAAAAGTATTATGCAAAAAAAAAATATAATACTTCCTTTACACATTTATTTTTGTTAAAGTTTAAAAAATAATAATATTTTAGTTATAGTAGATAGTTAATAATAATATAAAAATATTTTTAATAGAGAAAATATATATAACTATATATATAATACTTTATTCGTCTCACTTAATTTGTCCACTTTAGCTTAAACACTGAGATTTAGGCATTGTGTAACTAATAAGTAATTAAAAAATACATTAATAAATAATTACTATAATTTAATAAAAATAATTATAAATTAAAATTATTAAATAATTTAATTAAAATAAAAATATTGGGAATGAAAGTCTAAGTTTAATGGCAAAGTCCTTAAACCGAGCTTGATTTTCGTCATGCCTATCTCCACTTTTAAGCAAATAGATTAAGCTAATGTCTAGAAAATATAAAAGATTAGGTTGCAATTATTTGTGAAATTTTGATTTTGATTTTATTATTCTAATAATTTTTTTTTAATTATTTGTGAAATTTTGATTTTGATTTTATTATTCTAATATTTTTTTTAAAAAAAAAATTATAAATTAAATATATATATTTTATTTATTATATTATATTAAAATTTAAATTTATATTCAAAATATCACGACATACAATCATTTCAATTGAAATTTTATTATTTAAAATTAAAATTCAAAATCAAAATTTCACAAATCAAACATTAAAAAAATATATCCGTAGAAAAAATACAGATCAAACACACTTGTGTTCGGTCTTTAATATTGAATTATTTTTTTTAGTTTTTTTTATTAAATATTTTTCTATTTCTAAATTTTTGTTTATAGTATTTTTTTTATTTTTTTTTTATTAGATTCCAAAATTATTATATTTAACAATACTGGTATTTGAATGGAGGGAATGTAAAGTGAAAGGAAGGGAAAGGTAAAGATCATTTAAATTTATTCTCACTTTTTTTTTTTTTTTTTTCATTCAAATTTATTTTTGTTTTATTTTTTAGTAAACAAATATCACTTTTTTTACCAAAAAAAAATAAAAATTTCTATTTTTATATATCTTTCTTAAAACTCGTGTCCAGTCAAATGAACACAGAATTGGATGACGGAGGGAATATTAAAATTATTATAGTATTTTTTTTTTGATTAAATTATAATAGTGTTTTGATTGATATGGAAAAGAAGAAATGAAAAACTATCCTTAGCTAACCTTGGGCTAAAACTTGAAAATTTTAATGCCATAATCCCTTTCAAATATTCTAGGGAACGTTTGGTACAGATAATGGAATTGCAGAGAAAAGAAATGATAGCAGAGAATAAAATTGGAGAGAAATTGAATTGAGTAGAGAATGAGAATTAATTCTCTTGTTTGATAAAACAGAGAATTGATCTGAAAAATCTAAAAAAAAATGCAGATATATGAATGTGCAAACAAAAATAAATGATTAACACGATAAAAAGAGAGTTTTAACGAATGAGAATTCATGAAAAATATTTTGATAATTTTTTTTTTAAAAAATTATAAATTATATACGATGTTTTTTAAGATTATATTTTAGTACAATTTCTTAAAATGTCGTAAAAATTAAATACTTTAAAAATAAATTAAGTTTGTTTTTTGTAAAATTAAAATAATATAATTTTTAAAAAATTATAAAAATTAAATAGTACAACAAATTTTAAAAATAAAAAAATATATATACTGCAACATCGTTTCTCTACATTTCTCTGCATACGGGAGAGAAATGAAAACAGAGAAATGGAAATGATTTATTTCTCAAGTTCCATTTCTCTTGACTCAAACAAATAAGAGAAATAATATCATTTCCATTTATCTGGCCTCATTTCTCTGAACCAAACACAACCCTAGAGTAAAATAGTCTTCTTTGGTTTAATTTAACAGAAAAAATAAATGAAAAAAAATAATTTTATTATTTATGTATATAATTGAATACACATATATTTAATTTGAAATAGACACTACAATTAAAACATACAATATTATATTGACACTCGTTGTAAAAGTGTTTTTAAAAAAATTAAAATATTTGTTTTTATAAAAAATAGGGATGTCAAATGGGACGGGTTAGTCCGGATTCACCCCGAATCCGGTCTTTATGGGGCGGGCTCGGGTCTACAAAATTTGGTTCGGGATGGGTTGTGGATTTTGAGTTTTAAATCCGGCCGAGTTCGGGGCGGATTACTGGTTTTATTATACACCACCCCATCCCGGACCTGGACCCGGACTCGAACCCGAAAATTTTAATAATTATTATAATCTATTTATATTTTTTGTACAATATAAATTATAGTATTTATTTATTTAAAAACTTTTAAATATAAAATCGAATTTTAATTTTAAATCAAATTAATGTTCGCATTTGTTTCTCATACCATTCTCTTTATAATTGGAATTGCCGCTAATCGCAGATTTGATTGTTCTCATTTTAGAAATATAATTTTTTGATACTTTGATGCATATTTTTTTTAGTATTAAACTATTTTTTTAAAAAAAATATTTTATTCTTTTCTTAAAAAAAAAAAAAAAAACGAGTTTGTCAGATTGGTCCCGAACCCGGGGAATTCGGGGCAGGACGGGTCCTAGGGTCAGGTCGAAGCGGGGCGGAGCGGAGCGGGTCTTGGGTCCTACTATTTTCTAACGGGGCGGGTCTCGAGGCCTGCAAAACTCGTTCCGAATTCGCCCCGTTGACATCCCTAATAAAAAAACAGAATACTAGTTACCAAAAATTGAAATGAAATTATTATTCAAAGACGGACGAAAATGGCAAAATGAGAATATTATTTTAAAACAAACAAACATTTGAGATGAGTACGAAAATTAAAGAATAATATTATTATTATATTGATAGTAAATATAAAAATATTTCTAGAAAAATCAAACTACCTTTAGTTTATATAATTATTATGAAAAAGTAATTAATTTTTTTAAAAAGTGGGAAATTAAAATAAAAATTGAATCTTTGAGACTAACCAAATAAAGTAAAACTATTATTTTGAAAGAAAGTATTAAAAATATAATTATAATTTTATAAATAACTAAAAAAATATATATATACAACGTTATTATTCAGGAAGCAAAATGGACTCATTAGGGTTTGTTTAGATAGAAATTTTTGGAGGTTTTTAATATTTTGAAAGTAAAAAGTTAAGTATTTAATTTAATTTTTTAGAGAGAAAATGTATTTGATGTGATGTTTTTTTAAGAAAATGCATAATGTTTAAAGTCCTTACGAAGAAAAAAAAAAAAAAAAAAAAAAAAAAAGTTAAAAAACCACAAGAAAATACTAAAAATATAAGGTTAAAAAGAGCAATGAATAAAACGCAAGTATTGTTAATAACTTGAGAAAAAGGTATAGTTAATAACTGAGAAATCAAACTAACCTAACACAGTTGCTCAATCCTTTCAAACATATCAAACAGTTCAGACAACGGATTGCCGGCGGATGTCCCGACCCTTCCAGCCGCACAAATATTTCAGCCGCCGCCGGGACTTCGCCTTGCCGACCGATATCTGTGAACCCGACGTCGGAGTGGCCGGCCAGACCGACTTCACTCTTACACCATAAATAGCATCGCCGAGGTTGATGTCGTCTCCGGTGTGCTTGTCCAACCAGGCAAGAATGTCCGAGAACACAACCTCGATGTTGTTGTCCGGTTCGCCGGCTGTCAGGGCATGCCACATCCCCGGATACAGCTTCATCGTCTTGTCCGTACTCCCGGCTCGCTCGTAAAGTGCGCGGCTCACCTCCGGGTCTGTCACCGTGTCCGCCTCACCGTGCAGCACGAAGAACGGCAACGTCACCTGCCAATAATGAATCGAGAATTAGTTACGATGGAACTAACGATCTATCGATCTTCTTACAATCGAATGTCAGATAAAAATATCGAATTGTCGAAATACCAAACATACCGCACCAAAAACTATAAAAATAATCAAAAACTTCGGTACGATAACGATCTATGGTTTGATATTTTCAATATATACCAAAATTATCAGTATTCGGTATACATAAAAAATAGTATATACCGTATTCGATACATAGGCATATATCGATAATTAAGTATATTAATACTAAAATTATTCTTTATCATCTTTTTAAATTATAAAATTATTTCTAATTTCGATATTTCAATATAAAGAGGTATATACGGATGCCATACAAGTAATTCGGTATACCAAATTACGGGTACGGTACGATATATATTTGTCGTATCGAATTTCCAATATACCGAATTTTCAATACGAGATCGGTACGTTTTTTAACCTATCGAAAAATTCAATACGGTATACCATAACGAACCATTCATATTACAGACCTCGTGCAAACTATCCTCAAGCTCCATGCTGGTCCGGAGCATTTCGAGGGCGGTTTTAAGCCGCGGCTTCTTCTGGTATATAAGATTATTACCGCGGATCTGCAAGAAAACAGAGAATCTTATTACAAGTTTTTTTAATCGTCGCGATGATCACAAAGCTCACCTCTTCGCGTTTAACGGGATCCTTGAACGCGGAATCAATGACATCCTTGGTCGGCACAATCTTCCATTTGGGGATTACGTCTTCCACCCGAGTCAGCAGACTGATAACAACAGGGTGCGGCTTAACCTTCTCCGAAATCTGACCACCGAGCCAAGTTTAGAGACATGTATTCATGGCATTCAGGGGACATTCTTGATGTAATGAATTTGACAATATTAATGAATGACCACCTTACACATTGGAGCAACGAGCACGGCGCCATGCCAGAAACGAGGATCCCTTTTGTGTGTCAACAGGGCCACAGCTCCTCCCATCGATTCGCCGTATAAGAATCTTTTCTTTTCTCTGTACTCTTCCTGAGCTGAAACTCGAGAAGGTGAAATACATGTTAAAACATCATGACAACAAATCAAATGCGCGCCTTTTTATTACAACTTACACCAGAACAACAAACAAAAGACATTGGATTTTTCGAAAGTATAAGAAAACAACCATGGCGCACATTCAACTATCATTCGTATTGAAGTAACTAAACAGACAATCGTCCCGGACAAATTTCTTTCGGTAATTTAATTCATATGGTAATAATTAGGAGGAGTTTGGTGACTTACCACAAATTGACTTGAAATGGCTACTACAGTCATGAACTATGTTTTCAAACCTTTTGATGTAACACCTTACGCCCATAGAACGTCCGTGGCCTTCGTAATCAATGCCAAACACCGCATATCCATGGCTGGCGAGCTTCATTCCCACCCCTGATCGACGAAAAACAAATAATCAAATCACAACACACCATTTTCATATTCAAGATTTCTAAGATCATCTCCATAAACAGTCAATTTCTTTGTAATCAAGATTCAAGATTCATGTTCATCATCCATGGCAGACAAACCAATACTCAAATCACAACACACCATATCCATAAACAGTCATCAAAACAGATTCATGTTCATCATCCACAAGAGCTTTGTCAACAATTTGGAAACCAAAATTCAACAGATCAAGTCTTCTTCTTCTTCCTCTTTCTTTTTTCTCATAATGTTTGTTGGTGAGCAGTTGCTGCTAAAAACCTAATCAACCAAACAAAGCCACCTAATTCTTGTTGCTGAACTTTGACCATTAAACACTTGAAGAATTATTTCAAAGCATGCTCCTCAATAATTGAAGGTTAGCTAAAATGTTGTATTTGTATACAGATAGGGTAATTGAAAGGGAAAGTTCAACACATAAGAACATTGAAATATGGTTTCTGCAACTTTTTTTTGTGTGTGTGAATGAATTTGGAATCACTGTTCATAATAAATGAAAGTAATCGTTCGTCAATGCTCTGTAAGTAAACAGTTGGAGTGGCTAAACATGGCAGACATGGCAAATTGAGATTTGTGGAAACTTCTAGACACTCTTACCGTTCATGAAATTACTGCACTCCATGCCATAGCCTGCAACAACAATAATCAATGGCATTAAAATCCTTACACCAGGCACGTGATAGACAGAGAGAGAGAGAGAGAGAGAGAGAGAGAGAGAGAGAGAAACCATGGCAGAGGAACACAAGAGCTTTTGGAGAAGATGAAAATGGCAGCCATCTGCAAGTGAAGAGTTTCACTCCTCTGGAGTTCTTCACATATTCCTAAACAAAAATCAAACATAATGCAGCACCGCCATACAATTAGCGCCTCCACAGCGCAATTGTTTTTCTAGAACTTTCGAAACAGAAAACAACAGATGAACACGCACCTCCTGGTATTGAACCTCCATGAAAGCATAAAAACGGTCGTCCGAAAACAGAGGCTATTTTCGCTCACAACATAACAGAGAAGCGAATAACAAAACAACGTCTGAGGGGGAAATAGGTGGAGAATGGGGAGTTGGAAGGGAGGGTGGGGGTGGGAGAAACCGTTCGAAGGGCGTGGAATTAATGCTGGGGGGTGGTTCGTATTAGCTCTCCAATGGAAGCTTCCGAATCTCGCATTGACATTGAGAAATTTTTGGGGTCCAATTTCCCCTCTTCCTACGCCTTCCCCTTTTCTTTATTTATGTATTTGGGTATTAATTATTTCTTCGTCTTCTTGGGCAATCGTTTTTATTAATAGGAATCCGCCATTGATGGAATCTGCTCTCCTTTCTCTCCTCGTTACGACACCTACGCCTAGACTAGACGTGTCCATCAGTCCATGCCCTAGTTTAGTAGTTTCGGTTATTTATTTTTTGAATGGCTTTTTATTTAGGTTTTTCTTATTTTATTAAAATACTTCAATATTTAAAAGATATTTTGTAAAAGAACAATATATATTTGTAATAAATACAGTAAAATTTGAAAAATTTTATCAAAAGAAATAAGTAATTATTAGTATTATTTAATTATATATTTTTATTTGTATTTATTAGGCAAGTAATTTCAAAAGTTTTTTTTATTAAAATAAGAATGCGACGGGTACACACTTCGGGTGTGTTTGTTTGGGGATTGGATTAAATTTTCACTATGCATCCCATTTTTTTCTTCAAGAAATATCAAATCAAACACCTAAATTTTATTTTTTATATTATACTAAAAATAAATTTTACATTCAAAACATCACATTAACACCTATTTATATCACATCATACAACTATTCAAATTCAAAACTTTTACTATTCAAATCTCAACTTAAAATCCAAACCCTCAAATAAACACACCCTTCCATTCTTTTTAAATTTTTTCAATATTCTTAACACATGTAAAAATATATATTGTAAAAAAATAAGATATATAATATATTTTTAGTCTTGACATTTATTATTTTTTTTTCACATAAAAATGTGTATTATTTTGTCCCGGAAAAAATAATCCTATGAACTTGTAATTATGAGACTACGAGGAACGATAGAGTTCGGAATTGAGGACTTCACTTAAATAATATAAAAAGAAATACTATTAAAAATATTTGTTTTCATGTTGTACGACTATTGTATTTATTGGGTTACAATATTATGAAATTTCATTGAAAAAAATTAATTTCACATTATATATATATTCAATATAACATACTAAATAATCCACAATAAAACTATTTTTTAGTGTATTATGCAAATTAGTCTTTATAATTTTAATAGTTGAATATGATCTTTCGATTGCTACCGTTGTGACAGGCAAGACTACATAATGCTAATATTAGAAATCGATACATCAAATTAAAATGAATATTATTTATGAACTCAACCATCTTCTTTTGCAAGATATTTCATATAATTAATGTATAATCGAAGTTGTAATTTCAGTTCCATTATATTTTCTCCCATAAAACCCTTTTTAGTACAATTTAATCATGTGCAATATCAACTCAGAAATTAGAATTCAACTCAGAAAATTGAGTATTCATTTCTTAACAAATAATATCAACAATCTAAAATTTTAAAACTATTAAGGAGATATGAATACGAATATTAAGAAGAAGTTGGTCTTTCATTATTTCACATTTTTTCCTTGTTCATGTGGGCAACATCACGGGTAGAACGCAAGGTCCACGAGAAACGAGATGCATGAGTCATTAAGTGGAAAAATAATATGGCCTATGCAAAAAAGATTGATCAGGATGAGAAAAATCCAAAGATGTGAAGTCTTGGCCCCTGAACTACTAAATGATAAGACCTATACTTCTCGGGTTTTAAAACCTACCAGGGGAAAGAGTTGAAAAAAAAAAGAAAAAGAAAAAATTGCATATCATTCACTCGTGGTTTTAAAAGTCAACAACATATTTCTTCGTGATTTATAAAAGTTTAACTAATTATGACAGAAAAAAAAGCTAATATATTTTAATAATTTTTTCTTCATCACCTTTCAACACAACATCAGTTAAGAGCATAGATCTTTTGTAAAAAATATGTCTGGCCACTATAAATCCCGAACATCAATTTATGATTGATTAAGGTCAAATAATGTTGTTAGAAAGTGTGTTTTAAAAGAGAATTGGCACGGGAGCAAGTCCAAAATGTATAGACTAGCCAAGAAAGTTTACAAAATAAATAACGAGATCCAAGTGTCTCTCCCCGACTCAAAATGGTCAACCAAGGCTGAGGTTCGCAACCAGAGTCGGCCAATCCTATAAAAAAACAATATAGAAGTCAAAATTATCAGTGTTCAGATATTATGAAGAATTACATCGACTGATCAAATGATTGTAACATCTTTAGCCATGAGAAAGCCTTTGCAAACTACAGATGTTGAAAGATGGATATGAATAGGGGGAAAGCTCAAGAAGAACTGTCCATGGCCATGATGATAACTCGAAAGAGAAATGACTAAAAGAAAACGTTTCCAAGCCATAATTAAAAAAGAAAAGATGGTTGATTATACCATAATCAAGGGCTGCACCGAAAGCCTCAATTAAATCTTATGGCCGAAGTCCGGAAATGAGTATTAAAGAATAGATCGAATAAGTGCGAAAAGCAACAATCTTCGAGTATCAAAGATGGGATTACTATTTGTTGAGATATGAAGCTTGATTATATCCTAAAATCTAGGGATATAATTTGAATATTATATTCTAAATTTTAGAGATATGATTAGGATATTATTGACATAGGCTTAGCTTATAAATATCCATGTATTCTCACTTTAACATGTGTCTGCGTATTTTATATTAAAATTTCTAGCTTGGCAGCGCCCCAGACGTAGATCATCGTGATCGAACTGGGTTACCAAATTATCGTGTTCTTGTGTCCTTGTTCGTCTCGTTTTGATTTCCTGGAATTTCCGTAACAAGTGGTATCAGAGCCTGGTTTGTTTGTAAGGTGGATTGGGAGGCATCGGATATTGATTGTGGCTGTGGAAATCCCTTGTGACCTGTGGAGGTGATTGTGTCGAAAGTCTCCTGGCGGTAGCGGTGTTGGGTCGGTCCCGACAGTTCTTGTAGGTCAGGAAGCGGGTCCCTTTGTGATAGGCGGTGCAAGGTGGGCAGTGAAGGATAAGGGTTTCGGAAAACACAACGGATGAGATATCCGATTTGCTTTCATATTAAGTGAGCCTTAGGTTTGTTTATGGGAGTCAAGATGAGTGATCGTCGTGCTGTCAATGTATTCGGTGGGATGAACTTCGGTTTCTGGAAGATGCAGATAGAAGATTACCTGTATGGTAAAGATCTAGAGGCGGCGTTGAAGAAGAAACCCGAAGACATGGATAAAGCCGAATACAAGAAGATCAACAGGAAGACGATGAGTGCGGTTCGACTAACCCTTTGGGAGAATGTCTTGACTGAATTTAGATCTGAGGCAAAGGGAAAGGGTGAAGAAAAAAATGGTCAAAGTTGAAGCCGAAGAACAAAGACAAGGAAGATGCAAGTCAGGTGGTATGTTAGAACTATAAGGGGCACTTGAAACGAGAGTGAGGGGCGCCGGAGAAGGATCAGGGTTCAGCAAACGCAACGGAGGAAATATCCGATGCGCTGATTTTGAGCGTCAGCAGTCCAATGGAGTCATGGATTTTGTTCTCAAGAGCGTCATTCCACTCATGCAGTAATTCGGGAATCATGGAATCCTATACTGCGGGTAATTTTGGTATTGCTTATCTTGCAGATGATGAGACACTGAAATTGTAAGTAAATGAATGATTCGAATCAGAACACTGAATGGTGGAGAGTGGAGACTGAATGACGTGAGCCATGTCCCGGGTCTGAAATGGAATTTGATTTCTGTGGGACAATTAGATGAGGTAGGTTACTCGACAGGTTTTTTAAACTAAGTCGTGGAAGGTAACCCAACGATCCATTTTGGTGGCCTAAGGGAAAAAAGATTGAACTCTCTACATGACGAAAACCATGCACGACGGAATCAGTTCCGTGGCTAGAAATAATGACACAAATTTATGGTATTCTCGTCGGACACATGAGCGAGAAGATGATAAAGGAGCTCATTTCAAATGGAAGATTGTTAGGTCTCAAGTCCGTCGATATTGGAATATGCAAGGACATTATCTTTGGAAAGCAACAAAATGTGGTGTTCTCAAATGGTGGGAGAGACCTGGGAAAGAAAAAGTTGGAGTTGGTTCATACGGACTTGCGGGAACCAGCTTTTGTATCGACCCTTGGAGGCTTACAGTACTACATCGCGGTTATTGACGACGTTACAAGAGAGGTATGGGTATATTTCCTTAAGCGTAAATATGATGCTTTTGATACCTTTAGGAGGTGGAAAACACATGCACTGGGAGTAGTGAACCGATTTATGAGCAGTCCTGGAAGACAGCCTAATGTGGTGACCTTAGATGAATTGAGACCTCGATTAGTGAAGAAGGAGGCTTGGCGCTGTTATTGCCGATGAAGTAAAATATAGAAGAGGAAGATGCAATCAATCTTCAAGTGGAAGATTGTTGAGATATGAAGCCTGATTATATCCTAAAATCTAGGGATATAATTTGGATATTATATTCTAGATTTTAGAGATATAATTAAAATATTATTGACATAGGCTTAACCTATAAATATCAATGTATTCTCACTTTAACATGTGTTTGCGTATTTTATACTAAAATTTATGGCTAAGCAGCGCCACCAGACATAGATCATCGTGATCAAACTGGGTTACCAAATTATCGTGTTCTTGTGTCCTTTTTCATCTCATTTTGATTTCCTGAAATTTCCGTAACACTATTTATATTGTAGGGAAAAATCAATAGTAGTCTTAATATAATTTAAAATGTATCGATTTTTGTCTCAATATTTAAAAAAAAAAAATCATCAATTTTTGTCATATTATAAACAATTTCAATCAATTTTAGTCTCATTGTTTAAGATATAACAAAAAATGGTAACGTAGATGTAACAAGGTTGACGTGAAAGCTGACTTGGAACAATACAACCGTGTCAATTATAAACGTCCATGTTATCACACGGCCGTATACAATTATACACGTTCATGTTGTCAAATGACCGTATTTAATTGTATAGGGCCGTGCATCTTTCTGTTTTGATCTAAAAAAAAAAATTGTTAATTTTTTTTAATAAAAATATATAATGAATTTAGAATAATTGATATAGTTAACATGAAAAAAAAATAATAGTAATTTCAATATAATTAAAATGTAATCTCAATTCATAAATTGTACACGCTCGTGTTGTTTTCAGATCAGCTGCATGTCAATACCGTTACGTTCACATCAGCAATTCAATTA